GCGCGCACACAGTTCAGTCAGGCTCGTACCACCGATGGGTAACCTTAGCCCTGTCTTATTGGCAGCTATTCAGACGGTTTCTTTTACATTTGTGTCTAATGAGCAGAAAAATCTACCATTGTTGTGCAGTAATAAGAATCGCAGGGAAAAAAAGGTTAATGTAATAAAGATGCTGCTCGAGACGCAAGCTCACTTCGCCTTTACGAAAGCGTGAAACCGATGCCGTAGGCAGCCTTCAAAAAGACTGTTTTAAAATATGTATTCAAGGAAGCTTGCTCATGTGTCTTATAATGATATAGCATGAAAAAAAGTGGCTCTGTTGGTCAAAGAACCCCCAGGATTTTTGTTCTTTTCTTGCTCTATGACCTCGCACGCACTTGAATAGAAGGCCGACAATACAGAATCAAATATTAAACCGCTAAATCATCGGTCTAGACAGTATGAACAGTCTCTTGAAATCATACTCATGAAACCGTCTGACAGCGTTCCTGCACCTGAGAATATGACTGATATTTTCACGTACAACGAGCAAAGAACCCCGTCAACACCTCCTCTGTTACTGTACTGATCGCTGTTGTCGCAATCATGAACGCTTTCAAGCAGTTTTCTTTATACGGGATGAATACAGCCATCGCGGCAGTGTATTGGTAAACAACGCCATCGATACACGCCGCTCTATCTGTACTTGCATCTTCGTCTTCGCAGTAGACTCGCTCGCTGGATTCCGTGCCGACTGGTTGTGCCCTCGCGATCTCCGACGTCAGCTTAGCTCTGGCCGACTAAGCTGGCCCTACGTCATCTCCTGACGCTGATCTCCGACGACAGCGCAGCTCTGGCTTACTGGACTTGCCCTACGCCATCTCCTGACGCCGACAAGAGCTCTCGCAAGTGGTGCCCCGTCCTCGGACTCCTGTGACCGTGTTTCCATCTTTCCTATCTCTCCTATTCCCTCATATGTCCTCGCTCGCTGTCCCAGCGCATATCTCTTTCTCTATATATACCTTTATTCCTATCCTTTTAATCCCTCCTCACCCCCATCCCTTGTGAGCTACTGTTGAGGTGTCGCACCCTGATGCAGACAGTTACGGGGCTCACTTTTCTCTTCTTTTCCCTCTTATAACCTATTCTCTCTCTTCGCAGTAGCCGCCGCGCTGTAGTGTCGCGGCTGCACCTGCTGAACCAGTGCTGCGCGCCCACGGCACCGCTTTGACACTTTTCAGAACTAGTGCAGGAGGCAGTGCAAGCCAAATCGAAGAGACCAGAAAGCTCCCTAGAAAAGAACTAGCACTTGTTTTTTTTTTTTTTTATTCAGCGGCAGTATTACTACTATAATGTTTCGGTGGCGCTACTTATAGAGTTACTGTAAGTAGCACATACAGTAACTCTAGCGCAACCGAAGCCGGAGTGCCATGCAAAGCAGTGTCCACCGTATCTTTATTATTGCATAAAACTCTATAGTTACCTGTTTATCCAGAAGGACTTTAAAAAAAAATTCTGGAGTCGAAATCATTGCCTAGGAGTGAAGTTGTGCCTCTGGCAAGATGGCAGCTGTAGCGGCCATGCATTTTACTATTGGCATGATAAAGTATCACCAATCATAGAGTTTCCTAAAAACTCTATGTCACCAATATAGCTTTTTTGCGGTATCACCGTTCAGCGAGCAAAAACGGAGCGTTTCCCTCGCACGCCAAACAAAGGTAATTTGGAAACTTTTTCGGGTCACAGAGCGCTCCAAGCGCGTCTTAGTGTTACAAGTTTTCCTTAGTGAGCCTCTAATTGGAGGCAAAGTTCTTGGGAAATTCAGTCACCCTTAGTCGTTTCTGTGTGTTATTTCGTCGGAAACAACTGTCTTTCAATAGAGAACTAACGTAGAATTCACACTAATATATCAAAGCCACTTGATCTCTAAGTGGGCACTACCAGTATAGTGCATAAAATATAGTAAGTATATTCTAGGCACTATACTACCAGATAAGAGCATGTTTCCGACATCTTGGCAGTGGCAAAAGCTGGCTTCAAGTCTGCTGGCAAGGCGCTGCGGGAGCTTCCACTCCAGCAATTTTTTTTTAATCCTCCTTATACACCTTTTCACAGGAAGGGAAAAAAGCACCGCCATGATGGGCTGTGCGCGGGAGTACAAAGGCTAAAAGTGCAGCGTTGCCAGTGCATTTTCGAGGGGACGCGCCAATTTGCACAGCCCAAGGAGGGCTATGGCAGTGCCCAGGGAGGCGTTTATGAAAAGGTGTATAGTGAACTAGAAAAGTTCACTTATAGGTCAGTTCGATTCATCTGCACCAGTCGTAACTGGTTCACGGCTGTGCACGCGAAGTTCAGGAATTGTGCAGCGTCAGTTCAACGGTGCAGGCACAGCACTACACCCGAAACGAATGACGATGTGCCGACAAGGTGCAGGCCTTATTTCTTTTCGCTTAATTTACACCATTCAGCACACACTGACCGATGGCGAATCGCACATGCGGACAGTTTATGATGTGCAAACATCTTGTAAAAACACTCCGCGTTTGTAGAGGCTTGTACGGCACCTAAGCCACCTACGTCTAAGTGCTGCGTCGTCTGCTCAGCTGCACGCACGGCTGCACCAAGCCGGCCCCATCAGGCATAGCCTCCTAGATTTCTCTTGCCTGCTGAACAAGCGCGAAACGCCGGTAATTTATGGCGGCGCTGCCTACGTAGGGCTAAGGGTTTTTGTACTTGGCCTTTGAGATTGGCAATTTTGGCGTTTGCTACTAACTTTAGAGGCTATGTCTTGTATTGAAGAAGTTGCCTGTTGAATGACGACGTAACTTAAGTAAGGTTAAATATAATTACGTTTACGCCTTTTTAAAAATTTTTACATTATTTTTGTTGCATATAAGTTTCAAAAACGTAAAAACTTATTTGGAAACACCCCTACCCTAAAGGCGCCACCACCATAGCTCTGATGACGACCGCTTTCCAAGTGATATTCCGGCAGGCAACGGAAATCTAGGAGGCTATGGCGTAGGAGGTGCAGGAAAATAATGAGCCAGTGCTGCACCTCTTGAAACGAATGGCAGGGTTCAGAGGTCGTCAATGCTCTATTGTTGAAATGAATGGCAAAGTGCAGCACTTCGTGAACTGGTTCGCGTGGTGCAGGCGAATCGAACGGAACTTTTAATCATCCTTGTTTATTCGTTTGTAGGAAATAGCGGCGGCGCTGGCATCGCATACTCTTGAACGCGCGCACGACCTGCTCTATCACAGCCTCCTAGATTTTCTTTGCCTGCCGGATTATTGGCGGTCACTTAAAAAGTGGCCGTCGTCGGAGCTATGGTGGCGGCGTCACTTAAGTAAGGGTGTCTTCAAATAAGTTTCGACGTTTTTAGAGTTTTTATGCAACAAAAAAAAACGTAGAAAAGTCTTAAAAAGGCGTAAATGTAATTATAATTGACCTTACATAAGTTACGCCGTCAAAGATGACAGGCGTTTTGCGCTCAATCAGCAGGCAACCACCCTGACACAAGGCATAGCCTCCAAAATTTGCAAACTCCAAAATTGCTAATCTGAAAGGCCAAGTACAAAGACCCTTATTCCTACGTAGGTAGCGCCGTCATAAATGACGGGCGTTTTGCGCTCATCTGGCAGGCAAGAGAAATCTAGGAGGCGTTGGCTTTATAAACTCTGCGCCATCCCTATGAAGGTGTGTGGGCCCAAAAATTGGCGCGTAAGGACAGGAGATACCGCGAGGTGCCGCCTAGGACTTACCCCTCATAGAAGACGACGTGCTGTCGTAGTGGTGCACTCGTGCGTGCGCGTTTCTGCAATTTTTATCTTATTTATAACGTGCCGATCGAGCAACCCACAGATTTAACGAATCGAAGCAACATTATAGCTGTGAGAAGCATCATAGTGGTTGGCTCCGTGATGTTCACAGCAGGAACTCAATCTGCGTGAGCGCTTTGTGTCCTGGTCTAAGCGCAGGTGAACGCGAGCAATATGCGACACACCACCAGTTTGTTTTCGCGCAGTGCGCCCCACCTAATCGTTGTCTAGAAGGCGTTGAAATTATCCGTCCGTGGGCAAAACAGCGATCTTGTAACGAGTTGCAACCTGAAATCAGTGCGTTTCTGCGACGCAATAAAGACGGATACGGTACTAAAAACGCATGCGATGACCCGTGTAAGTCGTCATGCCCTGCATATCATCCTTCAATAATACTGTTCGCTGATAACAATAAAAGGGAGTAGTTGTGCTATCGTCTGGCGAATGTTTAACGATTAATGGGAGCACGCAATAAAACCGGTGAATTACCGCAATGTTGTTACAGTGATTTCTCGCACCTGCAGCAGTTCGTTGCAGCACTGTTCGAGCGCCGCTGGCGTTTCCATGTGTGTCTCGCCGGCGATGCCACCAGGCTTTTATCTCCGGAGCATCAAAATAAAGCGCATTAAGTGACAGCTTTTGTCGTGCTCCATTTCCGTAAAGGCAATAATGTTTTCTAGAAACGCGTGTATCAGTCTATACCATGCGTTATAACTGGCTAAATCACTTTGAATTGTCCCTGTTCTACTCCACGAGCTTTTAGCATTGGCGCTGTCGAATCTAAGTGACGGGAAGTTCGTGAAACGATATCCCAGTTGACCGCCGGCTGCTCGACTTGCAGAATGGAACGCAGCAGTACACCATTATGTGTATGGTGCTGTACGTGTTGTACCCTAACGCTCTCGAGTCTTGAACAAATATTCTGATGAACGTTGACCTTTAAATGGCACAAAACGAATCAACGCACGCATCGCACAGGAAAGCGCTAGGCGGCTGCAGCGATGAGAGTTAGTTGTAGCGCCATAGCGTGTTGCGGCAATTTTGAGAACTAAAAAATTTAAACAAGCAAAAGCACGGAGCAAAAGCAAGTTTGGCGACATGGGGAGCGGTGGCATGAACAGGTCGTTAGTTTATAGAGCAGCTCGTGAACGCGCGTGGTAGAAATACGGGTGCCGCATTTGGCTGAAAGCAATCACGTGATCTAAATGCGCTTTTGATCTTTTGTTTATTTTTATTTCTTTTTATTCAAGATGGCGGCGTCCATAGACGAGTCTGTTTTGCAGTGCCGTGGTAGTACACTCTAGCCGCGGTGAAGCCTGTTGAAGCCGTACGCCGTAGAAATCAGGCGAAACGTGTGGGCTTTTCGCTGACAGTGGCGCTGAAACAAGCTCTGTTTTTTACGCAGCTGGTTTGCTCTGGTTATGTATCTCTTAAGCGTTCGTTTGGGCTGCCGTTCGGCAAAGAAGACGCGGCACTTGAACTACTTCGGATAGCGGCTGTTCCAAAGGTAAGTGGATTGTTTCACCTGCGGAATTTACGCTGCGGTCTTCTGTTCCGCGCTTAAACTAAGACGGGGTGAACTAGTTTCGATGCTAATTGTTTTGTGACGGGGTGCTGGTTTCTCGTTACACCGCGGTTCGCCCAAGGGCAAGGTTCCATTTGGCGTTGCATAAGTGGTTGCCAGACTGGAAGGGTGGTTGTTGCCAGACTGCCGCTAAATATGGCAGAAAAGTTTTTTTGTAGTTGTGGCTTCTCCGCAAGAGTTTGGTGCTATCCGCGGTGCACTTCGGTGCGGAGCCTAGCAGAAGTCGAGCGCGGTGCTGCTGTGCAATTAAGAGGCCGTTTCAATTCCGTTTTAATTAACGGAAGGAACCGAGCCTAGCAGAAGTCGAGCGCGGTGCTGCCGTGCAATTAAGAGGCCGTTTCAATTCCGTTTTATTTAACGGAAGGAACCGAGCCTAGCAGAAGTCAAGCGCGGCGCTGCTGCGCAATTAAGAGGCCGTTTTAATTAACGGAATAAACCTCCCATTACAGAAGTCGAGGCGCGTTCTCTTGCTGTGTACGCAGCTGTGCGATTAAGATATCGCGTCTCAGTATTAGGGATTACGGGGAAAACTGATTAGAGTTGCAGGAGGGGATGCGCTGCCCCCCTTCGCCTTTACTTTTCTTTTTTTTCTCTCTCAGCTGATCGTGTCGCGTCGACCGCGCGCTACGACGGGGGACGCTACGCTTCCGCGGATAGCACCAAACTCTTACAAAGAAGCCACAACTACAGGAGAAAAATTTTCTGCCAAATTTAGCGGCAGCCTGGCAACAACCACCCCAAAGTCTGGCAACAAAACTTATGCAACGCCAAATGGAACTTAGCCTGCCCAAGCGTCCTTTGCCATCTTATTTCTCCTTATATCACGCGATGCGTTGTCTTGAAGTGCTCATGAGACTCATGTAGTAGAATAGAGTGGCTGGAGCATAGGCGTTATCGAGATGCAATTAAAAGATGCTGAAGTGCGCATACCGGGGCCTACTACATTTAAAAGTAGATAGCGTGGTTGTCCCTCCCATACCGATGGGCAAATTAATGTCCAAAAATGTTTTGGGCTGTTACGCAAAAGTTGAAATGTACATACATGCCACCCTAACGCATCTCTGTCATGATCAATCGTTCATGCACTGCAAGTAGTGGAGTTCTCCGTTGCCCATGCAACCTGATTATAAAAAAAAGTGTATTGTGAAACGAAACATGGCTACTGAATTCAAAAAACATAATTGTACAGTACAGACACCCGTGATATTTGCAGACACAGTTATTGGAAATATTGTACGCATTTTTATTACTATCACTGAACATATATTACACAAAAGTGTTGTTAATACAAATATTGACGAATGAACTTCAATATATAGGCTTTGCACGAAAAAAAAAATAGCAAGAAGAGTAGTACGAAAAGACAGACATGTTTGCTCATTAAAAAAATAAAATGCTTTATATTTTATCCACTTCTGAAAATGAAATGATCTGTGAGTCACTTCACATGTCTGTCTCCTTTCATCTGTGTCTTTTCATGCCATTTATCATTTCATTGTGCTTCAAAACCAATTTTTCCACAAACCCTTTAACAACAAATAAGTTTCCTATACTGTGACATGTTTTCAAAGAAATGACTGTGAAAGAAAAGTGCTTCACAATGCATGTTATCTAAGACGTAATGTCACGATCACATTAAAATGACACTTTTGTTCTCAATTTAACATTACCATGCAGCAGCCAAACTTAATGATCTTTTACTTGAAGCAGGATTAGAGCACCACAATATGTGAAGCGGTGTAAAGTTTTGAATAAAATTGTGTTTTCTAATATTTTGCATGGCTGCCATAAAATTGCACCAGAACACGATTCACAGAAAGATATGTGATCCTACCATTTGCTCAAATAGTGTGTTCCCTCGCCCAGTTTATGCAAATAAACAGTCCTCCTAATGTAGCTTTCTTTACAGTTCATACACAGCTTAGTTTTTATCTTTCTCCCAGTTATTTTTTGCATGATATGTTATGCAGCAACTATGAACTCTCCCCTAGAACTTGTTCTTGAACATTAGTCTTGCCTCAAAGGTAGCACTATGCTTACAATTTCATTTGGTAAACTATACCATTTGGTAAGCACAGACTTGAGCCTGAACATCTGATTTATTTATTTATTCTCTTGTTTTTTTACTTTTATTTAGTTATCTCATATGCACTGCTGGTCTTGGGCAGGAGTGAATTCGAAACAATTTAAAAGTAAATGAAACAACATGGGAATACATCTGAGAAATTACTGTATACGGAACCTTACAGCTGCATATGACAGCACTCGGCACTGCACATGGCAAAGCAATTGTTGAATTACATGGCTAGTTAATCAAAAGCAAGCAAAGAATATGTTTACTATCAGAAAGAACTAGCCATGTGATGACGTCCGTGCTTTCAAAGCAACCTAGGCCAACGCCTCCTGTATTTAGTAATGCCAGCCAGATGCGCCTGATCTAGCTGTTCTTCACCCTCTCCTCTATCCCTTTCCTGCTCTCGCCCATCACCTAGCCTTTGCTTGTTGCAGTCATGGAGAAGAGGATACCTCATACAGTGCCTCACGACGGGAATAATATAAAGTAATTTTTTGTTCAGTTGTGTACAGATCCGTGGCGTGACGTCTTGCATTTCTCGTGTTCACAATTTCGGCGGTCTATGGCACTGTTAAAATACGGTGTTTTAAGATGGCGTGTTGCCGTCGTGTCTCTATGCAGGCAACCAATTGGGAAGCGTTACTGCAATGCTACTACATGCGCTGACTTGAAGGGCGCTGTGATGCAGTGGTGGCACTGCTTCGAGCCGCAAGGAAGGAGCCCGATGGAACAAATCTGACAGACGAATGATATTGGAGTGGGACGCACGTCTATCGCATCTCCAAGGGAAAGTGCTCAGACGCTTGGGTGACACGAGCAGCGGTACCTAAATTCTAGGGGCTTTAGCGGTACACTTCATGTCGCGCTGCATCACGAACACACTCTGAACGAAGACGGACTGACAGTTCCCATTGAGAAGTGCGTGTTTGCACTGGCATTGAAAAAAATAAGGTAGGCGTTGCCAAGGCATATAAGTTACTTGAAAAAATACGTGCTGTCACACTTTATGGCCAGACTCGTTAAGCTTTCGGTTCCATTGCACTTACTGAAGAATTTGTATACTGTAAGTTCTAATAGTATACAACATGAAATTAGCTAGAGTAAAAGGCTAGACATAGCATTTTATTTAGACTGTTTCTTTTTTAACTTGCATTCATGGCAAAGAAGGGGTGCTGATATAATAGTGTCATGACGACAAAACAGAGGTCTTGCTGCAAAGATTGAGACACCAAAAGCAGGTCGGTCTTTTTAATAGAACGTGCGAGTTTTTCTTTTTCGTCCATTTCATAGTCCTGCATGGCACATGCACTACTGCCATCGTCTTTCTTGAGCAAGCACGTGACATCTGCCTCGCTCCGAAAGAGGCATCGTCCCGATGCACAACTTCGGCGCTCTACCAGGCGTATGAAGTGGTCGCACTAACACGGTAACCGGGAGCTAATTAACGCGATAAATATGGTTTCATACGCACGACGTGCACGACTTCGGGTAAATGCTTTTGGCGCTTGGAACTACAGTCAGTGCTAGGAACAACTTCGTAGTTCACGTCGTTCAAGCGTCGCGTGATGCTGTATGGGCCAAAGTACCGTCTGAACAGTTTTTCAGACAGTCCACGTCGACGTATCGAAATCTAGACCCAGACCTTGTCGCCTGGTGTGTAGCTAATGAACTTGTGTCGGGGGTCGTACCATTGCGCATCTTGATGCTGTTGATGACAGATGCGCACACGCGCGGGCTGTCTGGCTTCCTCGGCGCACTGAGTGAATTCTCCGGCATCTACATAGATGTCATCACACTCATGCGGCAACATGGCGTCCAGCGTTGTCGTGACTTCGCGACCATAGATCAGACTGAACGGTGTCATTCCAGTGGTTTCTTGTCGTGTGGTATTATAGGCAAAGGTCACGTACGGCAATATCTGATCCCAGTTTTTATGTTCCCTGTCAATGTACATGCTGATCATGTCTGTGAGGGTCCTATTGAGGCGCTCCGTCATTCTGTTTGCGAATGGTATGCAGTTATCCTCCGGTGAGCTGTACCGCTGAGCCTGAGAACCGACTCCAAAAGCTCTGCGGTGAAGTTAGGTCCCTTGTCTGTGATCACTGCTGTCGAAGCGCCATGACGAAGGACAATGTTTTTGATGAAGAACTAAGCGGCTTCTGCTGCTGTGCCGTGCTGCATAGCTTTAGTCTTCGCATAACGGGAGAGATAATCGGTGGCCACAATAATCCATCTGTTCCCTGTTGTGGAAGTTGGAAAGGGACCCAGGAAATCCATTCCAATGTGGGTGAACGGCTTCGCTGGTGCTTCGACTGGATGGACAAGCTGGCTTGCTGGGAGGTGCTTTGCATCTTTGGCAGTCGTGCAAGTTCGCACGTGATGGTTAACAGCAGCAGGTAACTTTGGCCAGTAGTACTTGCATCGTAGTCAGCACAATGTTCGGGTGTAGCCTAGATGACCAGAAGTTGCTTCATCATGGCACGCTTCCATAATTTCTTTTCGAAGAGAGGCAGGCACGACGAGCAAGTTCGGGGTGCCGGTTGGTGAGAAGTTTTTCTTATAGAGAACATCGTTTCGCAAGCAAAAAGGTGGCAGTCCTTTAGCAAATAACCGCGACACGTCTTTACGTCGTCCTTTTAAGTATTCAATGAGTGGTAACACCTCGCGATCACTGCGCTGCTCTCGTGCAATAGTAGCCGTGTTGACAACTCCCAAGAATGCCGCATCAATGTGTTCGTCATCATGAGTGACAGTCTCCACTAGCGACCGTGAGAGACAGTCGGCGTCGGTGTGCCTCTTCCCAGATTTATAGATGATGGTCATGTCGAACTCTTGAAGCCTTAGGATC